AGTTCTCTTGGCAGTTATGGTCGTTTGTCTTGTGTTTACAGGCATTGACTCTGAAGATGGGCGAGCCGGATCGATCGAAGCCGAAGACGAAGGCCTTGGCGGTCCTGAGCTGTTTGAGTATGCTTTGGTCCTCATAGTAGATCTGCGAGAGTTTCCTTTCGGCTCTGAACTTGAGTGAGTTGATCAATAGTTCGAGTGAGTCGTTTGTCGATTTGAATTTCTTGGCTCGGATGTATTTCAGTAGCATCTTGTCTGGGTCGTCCATCATGATCCAGTTCCATAGTTCGCTGGCTAGTTGATCTTTCTCTGATCCTGTGTCTCCTACTAAGCTCTTGATTCGTTCTCCTTGAGTCTGATTAGTTTTTGTGGTCTTGTTGTTCTTCTGGTCCTCTTGGTTTTCTGGTTGTTGGGTGTATAATAGTTGGTTGACTGCTTCCCAGAATTTCTTGAGCTCAGTTAGTTGGGATGATTGTTGGTTGAGATGGGGGAAGAAGTCTAGTTCGGTTGATGGTTGTTGGGTGTGGTTGTTCATCTTTGGAATGTTGTGGTTGTGTTTTGGTTCTGTTTTTCGCCCTCTGAATCTGATGAAGCTGCATTATTAAATCCACCCCACAAAACTCCTGATGATGAGAAACAGTCTCAAGGAACTCCTGAACCCATTCAAAGGAGCCTGCATCCCTCACCACACTCGTCAAGATCCTACCAGACACCACTCATCCGCCATCTTGACCACCACTCCAAAGATGGCCGATCACCATCCAATCTCATCTCAAATATCCTGGGCTCTGTCTTCTGACGATTTGCTCAGTCCAGCCACCTCACCTCCCAACTTCCCATCTAATGAGTATGTAACTCATTCAAGTGACCTCTCATCAGATCATCTGCTCATGAGCACTCCTCACCCGATCAGCATTCCAGGGGCGAGCGTGTAGAGGAAAAGAAAGACGCATGGTCTGACTCCTGAGCTGCACTCGTGATCTCATGAAGACATACACACCGATGGCTCAAGGACAGTCTCAACTCAACGCATCCGGAAGCCAAAACGTGCAATTGCTTCCAACTTCCCAAAGTCATTACATCAACACCCGTCGAGACAGTTGCATGTGGGCGAGGAGAGAGAGAGAAGGAAACCTGTCTAATTCCCACTCCGTTCACAGAGAAACAAACACTCAAATAGATATAGATCAGGTAGATTGGCAGAGGAAGGCGCGAGATTCCTAAGATTTAAATGATCATTATAGAGTATGTGGAGTCGCAAAGTGAGAAAGTAAGAAGCGTTGCAGGATTGTCTATTATGTATCCAAATTGCAACAAATGAAGGTAAGATGAAGAGAAGTTTGACTCGGCTCTGAGGGAGAGTGGGGAATCCGGTGATGGACGATTGAAAGATCTTTCTTGCGTACAGAGGAAACGGCAGAGTAGAATCTTTAGATGGCTGAGGATTGGGCCTGTGTGAAGGAGAGAATTGAAGGATCAGTGATTTATTTGGTAAGAGAAGATGGAAGCTGGGACCTACCATGGCCTTAGAGCGACCCTTGTGAGTGAGAGAGGACTGTGAGAAGGGCAAGTAGAGATAAGATTTGATAAACAGTTTAGTCGAGAATCCATGAGCAAGGATCGATTCGAGAGAATACAGTCAAAAGTAGAAGTGCATACCGATAGGCTAAGACTCTCAAGCTTTGCGGCGTCGGTCTTGGGGGTCGATTCCTCTTCTGAGGGAGTGTGTCCGACGGACTTCTGGGAAAGGGTTCCCGGAGCAGGACCGGCTGGCGGTCCGGCGGGGCTGGTGGCCAAAGCAGACGCGCCGATGTTATAGCCGCTCGACGAGCTGAGTGCGATTGTGGGTTGGCCGTCGACACCCAAGACGGCCTGGAGGATGATCGGCTGACTGTTGAGATCCAAGGCTTGATAGACTGGGCCGACGATTATCTGGCCGGCATTCCCACTTGCAGGCGGTCCGTCAGAGGGCACCGTCGAGCCGAACATCTTCGCCGTCGGGTTGGCCCCTTTGGGCTGCTGCTCCGCCGGCGCGGGTCGGGTTGAGATGCCCTGCAAAAGAGCACACAAGATGATTGCGACAGAAATGAAGGCGTTGTTCGTCATCTCGTTGAAGGTAGTGGTGAGCTTGGGTTGGGTTGGGCTTATCGTGAGTGTCTGGCCGATAATTGCTGATAGGATTATAAAATGAAAGACCAGCAGAATAAGAGCGCCGGCTGGAATCAAAGCTCGCTGGATAAAAGAATCGCAAAGAAAAACTTTCATCTCGGCCCGGGCCTCAGTAGCATTTTCTCAGACTGATGACAGTGTCAAATTTGACATATCCTTGAGACTTGTCCGAAGCATGTCAAGCTCTGTCCATGGACATTAATCTGACTGGCCCATGGGCCGGATGACGGACAGCCGGACGGCCGCACCCGGCCGGCCGTACAACTTTGCTCCACTTGGCCCAGATCACCCGTTTGGATGAATCAGGCGCTGGAGCCACAATCGACATGGTTCCCCAACCGGCTCACCCGGTCTTAAGACCGTTCCAAGATACCCAGCCCACCTGAAGAAGGGGGCACAACACCGGGTGGGAGTTAGGCCCAACCCAGGTGGCAGCAGAACTGGGAGGTTTGCCCGATGGACCAAGACTTGACCCAGATGGTTCGGAAGACCAGCTGGACGCAGGCCATTATGTATAGACAAATGGAAATGGGAAGAGCCACAGTTGCTAGCAAATCCGAAGTTTGTTAAGACCCACCCTAGTTCACCAATGAACAAACGAAGACTCCGGGCAAGTCTTGTGCAATAGTCGGATAAGGTATATATTTTGACCCTCGCACTAGTAGCAGTCGAAGTATCAATGGAGTGTGGCTGACCACAAGCGGCCACTCTCTCCCAAAAGCGTATATACCCCGGCTCAGCTCAGTGAGGCTGCCCGCTGCTGGTATTGTCACCGGCTGCGTGATGCTGAGCCTTCTTGCCAGGCTCAGCAGTGCTGCTGCACCCAAGTCTATAAAAACCCGCGACCCTTTCCCTCTTTGGCCCAATCTCAGAACCAGCTAATCATCTACTCCACTCTCCGCTTGAAACTCCTACTCGCTCTATTTCCTGCAGACAGTTTTGTCGCGAGCTGAGCAACAGCCTTCTCTCCCGCCCTTCGAATGGACACCTGTCCTGACTCATTCTAATCCGGAGCCCACACTCCTGAATCCCCATTCGCCACTGCCGATCTCCTTATTCCCCATTCGCCACTGCCGATTCCCGACAGGTAAGTCTAACCGGTGAGTCCCCCTCTTTCGCGCTCTCTCTCTCTGGACGAGTAAGGGATCATGCAAAGGGCATGGGAGTCATTCAGAACTCTCGCCGATCGTCCCCTTGAACTGCATCCGGGGGTTCAGACTCTGCTGGATGGGAGACAACAGGGGGCAGTTCTGTCTCAGCACCGTAATCGTTAGATCTTTGGGTCGAAAGAGGACACCCAGAGCACATTGCGGCTTCGGTGGCTCGGGTCAGCTATTAGGAATTTACCTGTGGGCGCTTGATATCCGAGCTTTTCCTTCAGATCCTCCCTTACTTACATCACCTCTAACTTCCCACATCTCATCAAGCTTTTCTCCCGGCACCCCAACTCACTAAGTCTTATCACTTCACGTTCATTATCATCATCATACACCAAAATATCAAAATTACTAGATTACGGGATTACTATTATAATTATATTACTTGATCCAGTCCACGCGAGCTTCGCTTTACGAAAAATTAGACTCTCTCCACCACAGTCTTCCTCACACAGCCTAGTCTTCCTCTGCAAAACTCCCCATGCTCCTCTTCGTCCTTGATGAATTTGACCACCCAATCCTTACTACACCAGCCGTCTGCTGGCCCCGACCTGTCTTTGACCACTTCGCCCAAGGCCTTTTTGATCCTCTCGACGAGCATGCGGACTCTTTCGCGATCCTGAAAGTTGTCCTCCAGCTTGGCGATCCAAGTCGGCAGCCTGCCAAATGTGACACTGGGTCGTCTGATTTCGTCCCATAGATCTATCTCCCTGGTGCTGAGGTAGAAATGTCGCCTGTTGTCTCCTATTCGGTAGAGTGTCGACCTTCGGATGTAGTCCAAGGGAACGATGACCGAGAGTTCTGAATGATTTCCATGTTCTTTACATGATTCCTCAGTCGTCCAGATGAATATTCTCTTGCTGAATCTGCTGACCTCGTGTTCGATGGCTAACTCCGTTCTTTCCACAATTTCTAATGATAATAATGAGCATCAAAAACGCAAACTCCCGTCAGCTAATCTATCTTGAATTCTAGACAGACCTCCGTCGAATAGCTTACCTGGTTGAAGAGTTGCAAATGCGTTTAATTTAAAAATTTTCATTGCTGGCGATGGCTCGAAGAAGCGTAAAGAAGGAAGCGGAAAGTGAAGCGGAATAAATTTTAGGGAACCGGTCCTCAAGAATTGAAAATAAATACTAATTAAATTAAATGAAGAATGATAGGTAAGATATATGTTGACGGAGTTGATTAGTTGATGGATGAAGCCGGGGCAACCTCATAACGAGAGGATTCTTATACTGCCCAAAGTCGGCGAGGAATCTGCCCAAGGCGAACGGAAAGCCAGGCCGCATCGTTGGATTCCACCCAGCATATGGCATGCCCCATTGTCTCCCTTTTGCTACAAGGGGAATCTCCTCAGCCCAGTTCCTATCAGGCTCCAGGTATAGAAATCCACAATGAGGACCGGTGGGACTCAGTTTTTGGAGGCTGCCAGGTGGCCGCACATCGCACATTGATTGTTGATCAACTGCCTTCAAATCCTTTGAGGATGGCAAAGGCCACCTGAACGGCACCTCAGACTAGTACACCTTTCCACTGCTCAATCGCTCAAACCCAGTACATACGCCCTTCCTTACTATGTATGTCCATCAATGGGCTTGATAGGGCAACTACATACTGCTACCTCATCAGTGGGCAACAATCCGCTCCTTCAAGACGCCTTTGTGTTCATCTCTTACCCAGACGGCAACATTCTACAACCTTCCTGAGAAGCCACCTCCAATGGATAAGATTCAAAGTTATGACGATATGAAACATCTGAACCAGGGTCGCGGTTGAAGAAGCGCGCTCAAGTCTCAACCTCACTCGGGTTCGAACTCGCGGGGCACCGGCAGGGGTACATAGGCTCCAATCCGTGGCAGCTCTTCATACTTACCTTGCGTTTGCAGTCTTGGGCGATCAAGGATGCCTGACTGTCGTCAGTAGGTCTGCGCATTGCACAGCGACCCATTCGCTTCACGCAGAACTGCTGGCGGGTTTGTGTCCATGACGCAAGCCGATGCTCAATCTCTTGAACGGACGGACCGGCTTTCGAGCTGGTCCGCCTATCCCCCTTTTGTCTCGGCCCCTTATTTTTAGCTCATTGGATTCCTTTCCAAAGGACCTCCGCCAGCCACTCGAGCACCAGATTGAACAAATGTTAAGTAGCTCATGAAGGGGGACAATCGTCTTGAAAGAGCGAATATGATCATTCAGACCTGGCGAGATGGATTCCAAAATATGTGAAAAGAAACTGATGAACTGTTTACATAGCGAGGAAAAGATTATGCTTGTTATGTTCGGTTGTCTTGCAGGCTCAAAGCCAAATCAAGACCACCCAGCTAACTATTCAGAGATAGGAGATAGAAGAAGCTCTAAGACTGAGAACACTCATTTTTTTGGGCTATCATTTAGTTTCAAAACTATATCCACGTAATCCTCGACGCCTTCACATTGATCAGCATTCAAACCCAAGCCATGAAGCAAGAACATCATCAAGCCATCGTCCCGATTGCCACTCGCCGACTGTCTCAAGGCGACATCGAAGTTTTCGACGGCTGCCTTGAAGTCTGAGGACCTGATTACTCTTCCAACCGACTCTGGATCCGGTTTTATCCCGGGTGGCAGATAACTCTGCAGGCTACTGAGGATTTCAGGATCATTCAAGATCGGCTCGACCACCTCCATGGTAAGGATATCTCCTAATCTGAACGCTGCAAGGACAAAGCAATCGAAAACGAGTCAGTAGGATATTTCTAACATCGGTCCTTTGTTTTGCTAAGCTTTACACTCACATGATTGTCCAATCGAGGCGCTATTCTGCCCGAATCCCGCAATGATACTTTGTAATTGATTCATCTGTTCAACTGGCATTAGAGAAAACAAACCAAAATCAGCAACTCTTACAAAACGAGGATTTGACTTCATTGAAGTCACCTGATACTCCCTGAGGGGCTGCTGGTGCTTCAGGTCGGATTGCAGCTTGGGCTGGAGAATCTTGCCGATTTCCATCAGCTGTAGCAGGGCTTTTGGAAAAAAGAAGTGAGAATTTAATAAGATCAATCCGTTGATTTTGTGAGTTTTTTTTCGTCATCTGGGAGCAGATCATCATGTGAAGCCAACACTTTTAGCTTGCATTCCCTCGTTGAGGGCTACGAATCGAAATTCAATCAGCTAGCTGGGCCAGAGGCGCGGATTATCTCCTGGCTATATTGTGGGACGCGCCAGTGAAATATAACACAAAATTGCAGCTTTTTTCTGTAAGACTGAAATGGGAAAACAGCTCGTGTAATATACAACAGCAAACAAGCAGTCACAACAGATGAATAGGGAGGTGACGCTTGGGATTCGCGAGTTCGTGCCGCTCGCTATGTACGTGCACTGATACCACCAGCCATGCGCTTGCAACACCAGTCTGTGGATATTTGCTGGACTCGACTCGAGTGTGATACATACTTGGCGCGCTGAATCTTCCAAGACGTTAGAAGGTGGTCAGGAGTAGCCCAATAACAACCTGACGGATGAGGAGGTGTAATATATGTGTCAAAGCGGGGTTGTGGGAGCAAAGCGACGTAATGAAGTAGGGGCGAGAAAAGTAAAAACAAGGAAACAAAGCTCAAGCGAAGAAGGGAGAAGAACTTACTACTCCATTGACATCTGTTCCTCATCAACGATCAGTTGATTAAGGCGTGCTACATTCGCTGCGTCGGTGGTGTGGTCAGGATCTTGCATCCAGTAAAGCAATTTTTGGTTTGATGAGGAGAAGCAGAGCGCATAAACTCGGGCAGTTGCGGAGTCGGGAACCAGGACTTTTTGGAAGGATGCATCGCCTGGGAAACACGCGATCGGTCAGGGGTTTTGTGGAAGACAAATGACACAAATAACAAACCAGCGAAGATGATAAAATCATCGATCACGGCTCCCGATTCTAGATCTTTGTAGCACACTACCAAGTCATCACGAAGGCCAAATCAGTGTCAGCCTTCATCGTCAAAAGTAGGAAAAGAGTCGAGAAGAGCAAAAAAAAGAAAGCTTACAGTGGTTCAATGCCCCATCGTCTTCGTTGTGTTCGACATACAACAACCTGACTCCAAGAGATTTTCAGTCGGTTTCAACAAGTTATGAACATCAATGTTGTCAAAATATCGTGAAATGCTTGGGACATTCGAAGTGAACCAGCGGACTGAAAATACACGAACCCTTTTGAAGGCAAGGGATCCACAATGTTCGTTTCACCTCGACGCTCGCAGCGACCAGCCTAACGTAGTAGCAAGACGGGATAATGGACGACAGGGGTCAGCTTTCTCCTTTGGAAATCAGACTTGATGATTTGATGATCGTACGGACCCTGAACTGGAACAAGCGAGTCATGTTTATTCGGTTCGTGTAACTTCACTTTCAAGGGTAAGTACTGTTAGTTGTTGTGTGCGTGTGGGGTTGGTTGGTGACGGTGTTGTTAAGAAAGGAGATGGTGGTGACACCGGATGACTGGAAAACATGCATCATCGGAAAAGACACAGCAATCCCCGACCACCTTCCGACGTCAGCTCGGCCGACCAACCGTCGTCCATCTTGGGCCTGGCGGCCGCGGCGCATCAGCTGACGACGATAAGGGGCTTTTGAAGTTTTGCATCCTTAAAGAAATCTTCACGAGGATCCCGTTCTGCTCTGTTCTCTTTCATTTTGCATCACGTTTGGCGGCTACATATGCGGTAGATTTGAATAATGTTTAGCGTCAGCCCAACCATCTCTAGCTTTTGCAATCCAAAACCCAAATTCATCACTCAAGGTGTGAAACTGGACCAGGAAGCTGCATGGAGGACGTGAGCTGCAGCCTGCATGGTCTTGTCCAATGTGAAACTGGACAAGGAAATTGAATAAATTGGCATCTACGGTGCGGGTTCATCGGAACTCTGTGATAGAAGATCCAAGACACAGCGAGTGCAATCTGAAACAGTCCGGTCTTCCTCCTCACCCACAACTGCATAGCTAGGCTCAAGTGTTGCAGAGGTGTGAGGAAGATCTGTGGTTTGATGTGAAGAAAAAGGAATAACCCTCTTCTCGGCACCATTGGCCCTACCAAATCACTGGCGCTCGAATTGGCAACATTTGCAAGCTCTGGAGTTCAAGTACACGGCCTCAAGTTTCTACTTTAATAAGCTTCACAGAAGTATGCTTTCAGAAATCCGATCCTGGCTCATCGCCCTGATAGTGATATCCGTGGAGACCAGCACATGCTCTTTTCCGCACTCATTTTCGTTTAGAGATATGCGAGAATGGGAAGCGCGCCATGATTTTTGGATCTTTGCCACGCGCGAGCTGCACTTACCCAAGGCTTCATCAAGCCTCCAACACCCGGTCGGCGACAAAGCCGAAACCAAACCCATTCCTTATGAACCGAATAAAAAATCTGCCCGCCTTGTGGACTATGCAGAGGATCAATCCCAGACTCGAGCAGAGGTCGCTGGCCAATCAGTTCACGATCAAGCCCCCCGGTTAGACTTAAAACCAACTCAGGCGATCAAGGATTCCCAGAAGCTCTACGGAAGCCATTCAGCGAATCACTCCGGTATTTCATCCGCAAAAAAAGAAGCAGGGTCTTCTCCGCGAGTCAAAAAAATTGAAGCAGAGGATACATCAATTCCCAACAAGCTCGAGCCTGCCAAGTTATCCGCCGATTTCCTTGAATTGTATAAGCGAGGAAGGCCAACCGGATCAAAGAACATGAAGAATAAGAGGCGAAAAGGTGCAGATCTACCTAAGCGAACCCTTCCATTCAAACTTGTCAGTGTTCCATTCAATCGCAATCGTGAGGAAGATTTCGTGTTGCAAGCAATCTTCAATCTGAAGCGAGTTGACGATACCAATTTTATCGACCATTACCTGCGCGGCAATGATGGAAGGTTCAAGATAATCAACATACAAGAGAATCAAATCAAAGAATTCTATAATCTATATCACCGTGAATCCAGGTTGGACTACAGCGAAGATAATATGTCACCGAGCGGCAGAAGGAGGATTCCCGAGTATGTTCTAGAACAAAGAATAGTGAGAAGAGCGAAATATGCAAAAGCAGTGGAAAACTTTCGCGGTCCGACTGAAATCAAAGAACTTAAAGATTATAAGCAGCATGTTAGCAAGCAATTCAGCCATTTCATAGAGATGATCGAGAATACTGTTGATCGTACACCTGGGGAAAAGAAGGAGCAGTTGATCAATGAATCCAATGCGATTCTCGGTCTTTTACCTTTCTACCTGTTCCATGTAGACATGATCAACACACTCATCCCAAGTGAGAAAAACAAACAGTTAGTTGGAAACGGACTCGGAGCACAACGGGAATCAGCCGGCAAGATCTTCCTGGAAATTGCAAGAAAAATCATCGCACCGGGTCATCAGCCCATATGGACAGACCGAAACTTTCGACGAGAAGATCTAAGTATGTTTGCCCGGCATGACTTTAATACTGCTACTGCATTATGTTCCTTCAATTGGCAGGTCCTGGGATACTGGCTAGAATGCACTAGATCAAGCCAATTTCACGATGATGTTACCTATGCAAATGGCTTGATCCATAACCAATTCAAGCATTTCCTCAATGATATCATTGCGTCGTCTATGGATAGATATGAACAGAGTATGTAGAGATAGGGAAGAGAGAACAGACTGGCAGTGAATCAGAGCTTTTCCAAATCAATTAATTTCAACAGGATTCTATATCTTAATTCTTTTTGGAAAAATAAATATTCATTTTATGTTCAGGTATTTTGTAGATCTTCACCAGATACCATCTAGAGGTTTTTATTTTTCCCTCAAACATATAGCCCTTGAATATACTTGAAATGGTGATTTCAGAATTAACACCCATTAGTAATGAAATTTGGACAAAGCTCCAATGAACAATTTCTAGTTCTTTGATTTTTCTAATGAAACCATGGTGTGAAGCACTCTCCTTTCATAGCAGATTGACCAAAAAAATGTAAAAAGAAACAGAAGAAGCCTTCTGTTATTTTCCATTACATATGAACTTGCACTATCATGAAGGATCTGTTTTAATGAAATTCTCACTTGTGTTTTGGGAATCTTTTGTTGATCTGAGCCTGAAAATTCTCATATGGATTTCGCATATTCCAGAAAATTTCTTGCGCAGTTCTATCTTGCAGATTTGGATTGCTTGTCACCCACGGAAAGAAGATCAACACTGTTATATTAATGGTGATGCTGATTCGAAAGAGTACGACAAGCAAATGTAACTATCTCGGCTCGGCGGCAGCGCGCGACCGCGACCGGGCTGATTTGGGCTTTGCGGCTTCCTGGTGTGTGGCCTGTGGGGGGTTAATCCTGCCCGGGCCCGATTTCTCAACTTTTCCAACCACCCGAGACTCGAGAGTTCATTACAGTCATCAGCTTGCACGAATTGGATGCCTGCATCGACTTGCAGCTTGATTCAGAAATCGACATTACAACGGAAAATGGTCTGTACTGGGCGAGCCTTAATGCCACCGTCATCATGAAAGAAAAAAAAATTATGGTTGTTGTGGTACTCACACGTTACGAAGCTTTGTTTCTCTTTCTTCTTGGTCGCGTCGGTGAATCTCTAATCCACGATCTTTTGTCGGACGGGTGATAGGCAAAAGCCAATCTAAAGAGGCTGTCCGATTCCAATCGAGGGGTCCTCCAGATGCTCTCGAAACTGTTGATCGGTTCAAATGTCTGAGTTGAATCTTTTTGATCAATGCTTAATTCTGGCTCCATCGAATCAAATCACTGACTTAGGGCTTTTTTTTTTCGGGTATCATCGACGATCGCACCCACATGCCAGGCCATTCATTTACTCTCAATCTTGGTCTTTCCTTCGCAGAAAATGATGTCAAGATATGGGCTATATTACCTTATCAGTTCTGTACTCAGCTATCTGTCTTACTCATTTCTGTCCGCAACTGGATCACCTCAAAGGACCGGTGGAGGTGCGACTCAAACTCCTGACGACCTCTCGACAGGGATCCACCAATACATCGTAGATTACTGCTATATCTCAGTCTTTGTTTGGCTTACTACTGGGCTGATCTCCAAGTCATTCTGGATGGCTTATTGGATCGTAAGTATGGCTACTTTTCAGCCATCCATCCCACCATTCTTGCTTGCATGGAAAACCAGCTAATTTTAACGCTCTTTCAACCATGGCAAGATACCTCTGTATGGTTTATACAAAGCTTTTAGTATCGCTAGGCGACTGTTTTTCTCATAACTCCAGTCGGGCCTCTCACATGGACCATGGCCTTACTCCTACAGATCGGCGCGAATTCCAATTGCAGATTTACGAGGGAAAAGCGAAGGGAAGGGTTGATATAATTACCCAGTTCAGATTATGGTTGGTTTACCCCCACTTGATGCCCAGAAAATAACGGTAAATCGGTCTCCATCGACTTCTTGAGTCTTATCGCTTCAACACTTCACCAGAACTGGATGCATCCGATCATCCCTGAAACAGCGCTTCTCTTGTACCGGCTTGACTCGTCAGTTTCTGAAGTTGGCCCTGAGAAGCTCAGAGAAATAACAAAAACACTTGTAAAAAACTGAGATTTTTTTCCACGGAATCCAAGCACGCACCTCATTTTCCCCAAAAATTCAAGCTGTACCAATCCTAACCTGAAAGATCTATTTGCAATAAGGTCGATTCACATTCAAATCTGTTCATATTCAAATCCATTCTCAACAAAATCTGTTTATCATAAAATTTACTGGCAGTAAAATCTATTTACAATACAATTGCCATCAAATTCATTGGCAATAAAATGCATCATAGATTGAAAAAGGCAAACCAATAATGACTAATAAACTTCACTCTAATGTAAGCCCTACTCCTCACAGGCTTACACAAACCTGTCACAAGATTACATAAGCCGTTTCTGCTTTGTATTTAGTCTCACCTGTCCCCTTTACCTAGACAGCAGAGATCTTTCTCTCCTCTCTAGGTAACTACCCTTTCTTCCTTCCTTCTCTTCTTGCTTTTCATTCAATTGTATATACTAACAAGAGATCTTTCTCTCCTGTCTAGACTGAAATGAAACACACTTTGATACTGGAATCCTTCCTTCAGGAGGTATTGTGCCCCTTTTCTAGTGCCTTTACAATGGACAGTGTCGAAGGACTCAATGGATTCCTGACATCTAAGCTCTGGGTTTCAGCTGTAACATGTATATGTAGAGGTCCACTTGAGGGGTGAGCTTTGAAATCAAAAAATGTGTGTTCCATGGAGAGAGGATTTCTTTATAAATAAATTTTCCAGTTTTCAACATCATGTAAGATGTATTCAATATCAAAACGGGAATATTGAAATATGGCCTACTCTGGCATACCACTGGGCAGAATGCTGTGGGAAAAGTGATAATCAGAGTTGACTAGTGAAACCTAAACCTAATCATGGAACATTGTTCATCTTAGTCTATTGCCTACAGTTGTATCATTCTTCTTCTTATGTTTATTTTCACTCTCATCTCAATTGAACTCATCACTATTTGCCTCACCTTCATTGCCCACAGGTGTGCTTTACTTCGAGAGATGGCCCTGTTCCATCCGGATATGTACCTTGTCGACCAGAAGGATTTCCTTCCGGCTGGCAAGGTACATGTACCTCACCGACTGGAAAGGTTTCATTCCAGTCAAAGAGGTACATGCTTTGTTGACCGGAAGGTACATGTACCTTTTCAACCGGAAGGACTTCCTTCCAGCCGGCCATCTCCTCCTTCCTGCCTCAGGTATCCTTGGGGATACCCGGATATCCGCCGGGATTTCACAGAAAAGGGAGCATCCACACCCAAATCTGCATCCGCTGGCAGGTATCCGCAATGGATACCCGGAGACCATCTCTATTTACTTTTCTGTTGTGTGTTTCTAACAACTATCTTTTGTTATAAAGTGGTTTTTGGATTGCTTGTCTATTAAGGGAAGGCTTGTCATGGACATGGAGCTCTCTTTGCTATTGTCAGACAACTTGGACACACTTTTCAAGCCATAATTTGGGGCAGTAAATGTTGCCAACAATGGGGTGGATTTTCCCCTTCTGGCAGACTGGCCACACCCTCATTTAACTTCCATCCAAATATCTTCACGTGTCCAACTTGGGGCATCAAGTGGTCATCCACTTCTTTCCAAACCTTCTAAGTTCAAGTCTTTCCAGTGAGATTCTCTGTTTGTTTATGGAGGTTAATTCATGTGAGTTGCACCAGTATAGTAATTCAGAAAAATGCCACCAAAGCCACTGACTCTAATAGTTGCAGTGAGGAAGGCAAACCAAATTTAAACCAAGAAAGTGTGGAAATTTATTATCTTCAATATTTGCAGTAGTCTGTTTTTCTTCTCTTTTTGACCGAAAGTGACAGGTGAATTGCAATGCAGAAGAAGAACAAAGTAAGATCAAGCTGGTAATTTTCCCCAGCAATTGGATGGATGTTAATTTGCAAAGCCTAAACTTGATGAGTGGTATGAATCCTGCCCACATAAGAACAACATGATTTCAAAGGTTTTTTTCTAATACTCTTGGGTTACATGAGTATGCAATTCTAGGATGTGCTTTGAAGAATCACAGGACTTGATACTTCATCTGAAATATGAATTCAGAGGATTTTAAAGCAACTGTGTCAGAAGGTGATCTCGTTTCATTCTACATGCATGAACAAAGTATTATATTCATTGAAGAAGCCGGGTCTGGGTCAGCGTGCATTAAAGCTTTACGTTTAAACTTTTAGCCAAGACCTGTTCCCCAGCCACACATGAGCCTATACAGAATTTCCCCAAAGGGAAATCTTGTAAATTTTAGGGAAATTCTGTAAACATTGAAAAAAAATCTGGATTTTTTGAATTTCCTGAATTTTTAGATTTTAGATTTTCCAGATTTTCAAATTTGTAGATGCTCTAGATATTCTAAATTTTCAGATTTTTTAGATTTTTTGGATTTTTGAGAATTTTTAGAATTTTTAGAACTTTTAGATTTTATTTAAAAAATCTAAGAAAAAATCTAAAAAAATCTAAAAAAAATCTAAAAGAAATTAGAAAAGAATCTGCAGATTCTTTGCATCTGAAAACTCTAATGCCAAAAAATCTAAAAAAATCTAAAAAATCTAAAAAATCTAAAAATTTCCAAAATTTTCTAAATTTTCTAAAATTTCTAAAGAATCCAAAAAATCGAAAAAATCTGAAAAATGTAGAATATCTAGAGCATCTACAAATTTGAAAATCTGGAAAATCCAAAAGCTAAAAATACAGAAAATCCAAAAAATTCAGATTTTTTTTAAATGTTTACAGAATTAAGATTTCCCTTTGGGGAAATTCTGTATAGGCCCATGTGCCATGAGATAAATATTAAGCAGTAAAACATATGAGGTTTCAACAACAAGAAAAAAAAACACTGAAAACATTAGTAGAGTCACATGGTCTTGCCATTAATTTCCATTGCTTCCCAAGAATTTCAAAGCATACAACATTCAACACACTTCTCCAAGTCAAAATTCCCTCCTGGTCTTTAAATGAAAGAAAACGTCAAGAAAATGTTGGATTTCACAATGTCTCTTCCTTCTCAGAGGTGTATGCTACATAAATTTTGCACACATGTCACCAGTGTTGTAGCTTACCTGAGACATGATTGAGTGCGTGGAAGGCTTCCCTTTCCTCATCCTTCCACAACCTCATCTTTTGTCTCAGGTAAGTCTCTCTCTTTTTCTTTCTCTCTTGTTTCTTCTCTTCTTTCATTCTGATAAGGTTGTTTTCTTTCTTCTGATTACTAATGCAATCTATCCTTCCACAACCTCATCTTTTGTCTCAGTTCACCTCAACAGAAACCCGTCAGTACCAAAACTAGTTTTGCAAAAAAAACTGCAAGTCCCATGATGTCAAATTTCCCTATGAACATGGCTGAGAATATCCCATGAACCATTAATAGCTGGAAGAAGTTTATCAAAAATTGCTTGAAGTTGAGTCCTTTTCCTCATCAGTGCCCTAGAACAAGGTGTATACCCTGACGTGGCAAGCAGGGGACATGATTGGCAGCCCATTCAAAATCTGCAGTCTGCCAATCTTGATTTCTTTGAATGTTTCAGTATTCAATAAACTGCACACCTCTTGTTGGAAGAACCACTAATTATGTTTACAATGAGAAAAGGAATGAACATAAAAGATTTTCAAAGTATTCATTGTTGCATGAAGGCTCCCAGAAGGAAGATTTGTTTCTTCAAAGGATAAATAAAAAGGTAACCTCTTTGGTTTATGAAGAAATTATATGCAAGTAAGGGGATAATTTTTGAATAGAAATTTTTGGGCAACAAAACAAGTTTTTTAGAACAGCTCAATGTGTTGGAAAAGAAGGAAAGAACTGATGAGTTTGATTATCATGTGAAATCAGTTTGTTAAATGGACTACATATTGTCTTTTGAAGAAAGCTTGGACAGATTTCCAAGTTTGCTGTGCCAAAATCATGGCATTCTATGATTTTGAGTTTAGTTTTTTTTCTCTTTTTTTCTCTTCCTTGTGAAATGATTTTGATGACCACTATGATTTCCACTTCGGAGCCCCAAGCTGTGCTTCATTGGTATCGTGGCCTGTAGGCTCCAGCCTGCCAGCAGAAAACCAGCCAACACACCAGGAAGGAACCAGTTTTCCTGTTTTTTATAGCCACCATTACGAAAATGTCTCGCTTTGGTCTTGATCTCCTCAGAAGAGAAAACCCGCCGCCGGGTTACTATTCCGCTTCCGAATACTGGCGGGTTCAGGGGGTTGGTGATCAACCAATGAACTTGACGGTATGCTTGGTTGTTTTTTATTTTTTGGCCTGCGTGGGCTGATTTTTTTGGTTTGGTATAGGTCCAGATGGTCAATTGCCACACCAGCTATAAGCTGTTTTCCCCAAAGGATGCCTCAAAACCTCAGGGCACTTGGAACATGATAAAATCGAAACAACAGTTCCTAATTTCATTCCCTCCAGTATCCACTAGTCTTGATCAATTTCAAGATATTGTTGCTAAAGAATGTGAGAAGCAGTTCAAAGGACTGAGGCGGCGATTCAAAATGCTATAAGATTTGGATCTCCACACATTGACTGGAAAATCTCGATGAAGCTTCCAGCAGCCAATGAGTTTCTCAAGCCGGCAAAATATACCGTCAACGACGAAAGTTCGTATTCTCACTAGATTGCGACAATTGTTGACAATGGGAAGGACCACACGGACGTAGTCTTAGAAGTTGCAATGGTCAACCCGGCAAGCTTAAAAAAAGACGAGAAGTTGGCTATCGAGCTGAACAAGCACAACTTGAAGCAGGCCGCCACCCAACAAGCTTCTGGATCCAATCCATCTGTTAACGCAAGCAAATTCAATCCCATCAACATTCTTGCCAACAAGATCTATGCGACTCACCCGCCGAACGTCAAATACCAGCCTAAGTTGCCGGTCTTCATTCATCCAACCGATTGCAATCAATACATTCCCTTAACTGCTGGAAGTGTGCAGAAATGGGCCACTGCCCTTGTGATTAGCAATGATCTTCCTCATCCTTGGACTGGCTTGCTAACTTGTTGCTGTTAGCTTAAACCCGACGACGGAGTGTCACTCCACTCCCTCCCAGCTGATATGAAGTTTGAAAAGCTGTCTTCTGCAAAGAAGCGTAAGCTCAACGAGGGGTCAAGCCACCAGACTAAGAGCCCGGAGCCAGATTCTGAAAGCGATTCTGTTATCGATCTTGGAGTCAACTTACTCAACAAGTACCTTGAATTCGTCAAGATTCCACCTGGCGACAGTGATGGAATCTTGCAAATTCTCACTGAGAACAAAGCGACCAATCCCCAACTTTTCCGATCCAAAAACATCACCCAAGAAGTGATGAAAGAATGGGGCTTACATGACGTTTTCATTGCCCAATTACAAGACAATGTGTTAAAATTTGAAAAACAAACGTCTTCAAACTAGCTTATCGACTAATTCAACTACCTTCTTACTTGATCATCTGTTGTTTTCTTATCTCTATACTTTAACTGAATATGTATCAGCCATCTTATCCTGATTTTATTTTCTTTTTGAAAGCTTAAGATTGACAGATGAATTCAACATTTTATCTAACTTGATTTCATTAAATTAGATACTTTTACCTTACCCTGATTGGACTCATTGTATTGATCTCCTTAAGCTTAAAAATCTGCTTTTTTCTACGATCTCCTTGATCTTGACATTTTATTTTATCAATTGCTTCTTTAGCTATCTGGTTGTGTTGGTGATCAATACATATTCTAACTTGATTCAACCAACTCATAAACTGTTGTTCTCATCTTCTTAATCTCATCGGTCTTATCAATCTGTCAACACACTTTTATTGATTGTATCAAGGTCAAACATTCAACTGTTTAACATCTCCCCCCAAATTATTGATGGGAAACAGCAATCAAGGCATGATGTTCAGGGTAGACAATAGTAAATTTTGTCAGATGAGTACCGGAACATTAGACATAACCTGAGGAGTAATCTTTGAATTCTGCCATTCTAAGGCTAAAACAGGTTTACGCTACGAGGTGGATTTGAACGCACAACCTCTTTCTTTCACCATATAATGCCTAAATGGTCCAATCTTTTAAACTTGTGCTTGAAGACCTTACTAAGGTTGGTGGGGAGTATCCCATCTTTCTTGGTTTTTAAGCTAATCATCTCTACTAATGAAGTCTACACATTCATTTCATATTGTTTCAAGCTGCTGGTTTTTGTTCCTTGTGCATAGGTGTAAACGGACATCAAGTATGGACGGAATAGTAGAGGTTTGAGGCAAAAACCTTCATCCATCTTGCCTCTGATAATAGTTCCTTCTTGGCGATTGATACACTTCATCTCACAAACAATACTTTTTGGGTATAAATATGATTGAAACAGGTGGCAAATTCAATGATAATCAGAACATTTTTCAGAACTTAACAATAAACACTAGGTTGAGCTTTTGTAATATGAAATCACTGAATTGGGGGGGGGGGGTTAAGTCAATACAATTTGCAGTGGATAAAGTAATTTTTTGTGAGGATGATTGGTGGTAACTGTAATCTAGTGAGGCTACAAGATTTGCTGAAGCGTACAAGCAGAAAACATGTGGTCGCGGGCCGGGGAACACAAGTCAACTGCCCCCCGGACCGCTAGAGATGCTCTAACAAACCAAAAGTAGCAAAAGAAAAACACCAAAGAGTCAAGTTCTAGTTGTCAGAGACACAGTACCCACAATGCTTATAGAGCTTGTAGCAGAGCTCATCAGTCATCACCTCTGCAGTTATTCGCCTAATTTCATATTCAGGTTCCTTGGTGCAATTCAATATTTGGCTTGATCGGATTTTTTGTTTAAGAGCAGCAAAACAAAGCTCAATCGGATTCAATTCTGGACAATAGGGAGGGAGGTAAAGTAGTTGCACCCCAGCGGCACGACAAAGTTCCCCAACTCATTGACCACAATGATATGTAGCATTATCGCAAACCAGAACTGAATTGGAATCAGGATAGCTGTCAGACACTGAGACACTAGCCCAGGTGTCTACAATAGAATGTAACCCCCTTGGGTTACATAACAATTATTATTATATGTAATCTTTAAGTTAATAATTATTAAGTAATGTTATCCCTTTTTACATGTATTTTTTATGTTAATAATTATTCTGTAAATTAATAAAGATTCACCTCTTTATTAATTTACCTCTTTCATGAAAATTATAATCAAGTTGAAAAGGATAATTATCTCCTGGGTGTGTCCAAGAGATGATTATCCAATTTACCTCTCTTGTGTGTATGATTATTATGTTTATCTATCTTATGGTATTTTCTGAAATAAAGGATATTCAACACATGTACATTTATCATGCTCTGAATATCCTGACACTTTCCCCCAAGGAAAAGTGTAACAATAAGGGGACTGCACCGGTCCCAGCAGCAGAATTGACCCCTGCTCTGTAATATTTAAGAGGATGCCTCTCCCCCTGAGATCCATCCCCCAGACAATATTACCATACCAACCCAACAACCTTACTAAAACATATACTTAGTGAGTGGGGTTTTTTAGTAATATATTATCTACATAAACTTGTTGTACCTTTTCCTTTATCTCATTACTAGTCTTTATAAGTTACCTTATTAACTTATAAGACTAGTACAACTCTATTCTTCTTATTATCTTAAGCTCAGGCACTGTGAGGCTCATTCCACAGCTGTCCCTTATTCTTATAAGGAGCCAGTCCCTCCACTGTACCAGTGTCGAGTTGGACTTATTTCCACTGGCCACTCTTTGGCTATAGTGTGACCCTTTATCCCATCAACTCTAGGTCACATAAGAGACCAGAGCTGACAATAGCAATTCATACGCGGTAACTGTAGAAAACAGTTTCAGCTCCGTTTGTAGTGAGAGAAGCCAAACATAACTGACTAGATCATATTCGAGGAAATGCTCAAATTTACTTCCATTGTAAGTGTCAAACGTGGTCGTTAGTGCTACCAGCCCCCCAATTGATATGGCTGGGAGTAGACTTAATCGTGGTGGGTTCTGGTTTATGACAAGTCTGGCTGAGGGG